ACATACATACATACATACATACATACATACATACATACATACATACATACATACATACATACATACATATATATATATATATATATATATATATAGCTGTATCATACAGCTGTTAGTACTTTTTTTATTCATAAGGCGTGAATCGTTTAAAAAGGAGTATAGCTCGCTGAAAATAATACATCACACATATTTTATATGTAAACATGAATATTTGCATACGAATGATCGGTGCGTTTATCAAGAACAGACGTGAATTGAAAAACAATTATACAAAATCTATGAGCACACCCATTGTTATACTTACGGAAGCACACTATCTTTCTCCTTTCAATAAGTACATCATACCGCAAATGCCACACGCCGTTCTTTGGCTTCCTCCTCTAGGCGAGCGTTCTCCTCATCCTTTCTAACTCGTTCCACATTATCGCGGTTATAAACATGCCAACTTTTATGCTGCAGTATATTTGTTTTCCCCATATTGACTTTGGCGGTGTCTCATATGCTCGTACTGATTATACGGGATAGTTTATATGAGTGCACATACGACAGGTATACGCCGCTGTATCTTCACAGGCTGAATTGCGAGTACTTTTGACAGCACTCAATACTCTAGAAGCATCATTTCAATTGACTGAGTGTCTGGATTTGATTTCAAGGTTGCTTGTACGCCCACTTGCAACGAGTGTGAGTGGGTGTGAATCTATCCATGAGGCTATTAGAGATGGTATTATGTAAATACGTACAGCTTTCTCCTAAGATCTTAGATGCGATAGGTCTCTGGGTCTGGCAATCCCTAAGAGCTGAAAACCCAAGATCTTAGGTAATATAATCTAGTATCGATGTTTGCTGAGAGTCGCCTGAGACTCTTATTACTTTAGAGAGTTGAGACATTATTCCTGCGAGTATGATGATTGATGAGCTGATTATATCACACAGACGGGACTCGCGGGAGGCTCATCGTGCTCACCTTCCATATGAACATAATAGCCGCTGTGGCACATTATATAGTCACACCAGCAGTCGGAGGGTTTGCTGTATAATATATTAAAGCACTCGTGAATGTATTTGCAATGTATGTTGGGTTTAAATATATCGTCTAAATGTATACATAGGGAGACAATAGCTGGACCGTCATTCAATTGCCGTCTATGCACAGGAAACGTACGAAGCAACTACCGATCTACTACATGTAGATTGATTAAACCGGACTACGCCGACGTTCATCTGTCCAAGCACTTGAGTCTACGATGGTAATGGACGCATGCTGACAACCTGGAGTACGCTCAGTGTGTACATGTGCATACAAGTATGTGATGTTCATTTTTCCAACCATTTAAGTATATAATGATTGCCTGCCGCCTAGTGCTAGTACGCGGCATATCAAAATATTGCGACATGACCAAGTATAATCATAAGCAGCTTAGCTTTTGTGACTAACGTTGCAATGGCAACAACTGCAATCGCCTGATAGTGGTTCACTAACCGTGTTGTTTAGATACGGGAGAGACGTGCTCGCGCTGTGAGCCGTATCGACACTCAGCTATGACATACTGTGTGGGATGCAAACTCAAACGACGGGATATACATATCAAATATCATACAAGGCCTTGAGGACAGGAGTATGCACTCTGCACGCACAGGACGAGATGTTCTGAACACATACGCGTGTGCGATGGTGTTCCAACCCACACGCATGTTTTAATTTATTCAATTGAAAGCGCGTATTAAAAAAATGAAACAGAAGAAACCACACCTGTCCACTCATGCGCAGTGATCCAACCGGGAGCTCGGCATAACACGGCAGGACACCTCTAATATAGCCCCCGAGGTTACCCTTTAATACACCCCCCGCGGTTACACTTTAATACACCCCCCGAGGTTACCCGTTAATACACCCCCCGAGGTTACCCGTTAATACACCCCCGAGGTTACCCTTTAATACACCCCCGAGGTTACCCTTTAATACACCCTCCGAGGTTACCCTTTAATACACTCCCCGAGGTTACCCCTTAATACACCCCCCGAGGTTACATGAGTTACAACATCACTACAAGGACAAGGGAAACAGTGTACGATGAGAAAGCGGCGGATATGGCCATGGCTCAACTAGAAGCACTCGACTGCGGAACGTTACTCAGCATGCTCGCACGCATGCACAAACTCGTGGCTGAGAAGACTAGACACCACCTGCGGAGGTGTGGTGCTGCACTGCCCATCTACGCAGCCGGCAAACAAATCCCGTCGGAGGTTATGGTCAAGGTGTTCGATTGGCTGGACTACGACTCGGTTAGGGAGTACCGTTTGGTGAGCAGGTCGTTCTATGCTGTGCTGTGTGACCAACGCCTGTGGACTGAAATCCCCGATGTGGCCTATGGGACAGGCGGCCGATTGGACAGGGCGACTGTGGACCTGTCCAAAACAATCGAGGTGCGTCATTATGGTGTGAGTGTACGTAAAGTAGGTGTGTGAGGGTTGTGCATTTGTGGGTGCATGCGCTGGTTCGCTACCAGTGGAGTTTATATCGCTCGATTGTCTGCTGAAGGATCTTCCACCGAGATACCGGACATCTCTTACACGCACTTGAGAGCCGATACACCTGCACATGTGGTTTGTTGCCAGGGTATGCAGAATGCATTACAACGTTTACTTCCATAGTACCGTCCGGTGTAAATTTAACCCACCCACACTCCCACCCCTCCTACCTATCTCTATTCTTCCCTTCTCGCTAGCAGGTGGCCAGGCACTATCCACGCCTGCAGAAATGGTACATCCCCAGAGAGCTTGACTTCCATGCAGCGTCCAGTGATGTTCTGGATGGTATTGGCGAGGCCATGCCCAATGTGCGAATGATTGCCATCCATGCCGACAACACAACCCCCACACCCGAGCAAATGACCCAACTGTTGACCCGTATGCCCCGCACCCGGTCCTTGGCGGTGGGGTTCGGGACAGTACCGGGGGACCTAGCGTCCTTGACCCGTCTCACGGTAGGTAGGGCCGGCAGTGAGTACGGACAGTTGCCTCTACTGCAGTCGACAATATCAAGATCAATTGAGAT